GAGACTTCTGGTCAGACAAAATAATCTGAAATACTCACACGCACATTTGTTTGCAGAATTGTGCCAAACTGTCATTGCATTTTTTTGCCGGTTCAGGAATGCCTCTTCAACTCTGGTTTCTGTTTTGTGCACAGTGGAACCATGAGGATTTGTTTGCTCTGCTATAACTGATAAGCCTGTGCATAGAAGGTAAACACACATTTCAATAATCCAAGCAGTATTAACCAGCCAAGTTTTGGAAAGCTGCTGGAATACTACATTAGAAACCACCCAACAGTTAACTAAACACAGATTTATTCAAAACAAAGATTTACATCAAGAACATTTACTTGCTCCAACAAATGAAAGCATCCAACATAGAGCTTCAAGATAAAAACAAGTAAAAAAAATAAAATGGCAGCAAAACATACAGAGAGTGTATTGCATGCAGCCATCTAGCAGGCTCTACTCTATCATGGGATCCCCAAGCTAGTTGACAAAACCCTATTTTAAGGGCCTTCCGGAAGGCCAGCAGGGTTGGAGCCAGCCTCACCTCGGAGGGAATGATGTTCCACAGGGCAGGGGCCACGGCAGAAAAGACTTTCTTCCTAGGTCCCACCCAACGACACTCCCTGGCTAATGGGACCCCCAACATGCCTCCCCTCCGCCTATAATTGCGCTATAATCCTTTCTACAACACCAAGGATAAAATATTATCCCAATATTGAACATGAGGATAAAACTGAGAATGGGATTGTTTATGTAAAATAATCAAGTCATTTCAGAGTAATGTCTGGTTCTAGCACAACACTATATGATTTATAACTTAACTTCTATGAGGAAGTCCTGTGAAAAGTTATTTTCCAGAGAAATGTGGACAGAACTATGCTACCTGTTAATGCACCATTAAGGCCCAAATACCATTTCATTTTAACAATAAATTATGCTCAAAGTTGTTCAGCTTCTCTAGAAAGTGAATTAATTATGCTTTAATCCTTAGAAATCAATAGGACAAGTTAGTCATGACTAATTTAAATCCCCCTGGTTTCAACAGACCTTAAATTAAGGTACATTCAACTCAATGTTTTTCTTTAAACCATATACGCTGCTATCTAAATGTTACACTAAAGGATGCACACAAGTGCTTTTCCGTGGATTATTTTTCAATAAGTAACTTAAAATACAATTAAGGATGAAAGCAAAGAACAGTATGTATTTATTTTAATTATGACTCCTGTAGCATCAATGGCTTGCAGTATATTTTATAGCTCTTTTCTCTTTTCCCCCATCTCAGGGAGGTTGCTACTACAATTTTAGGGAAGGTCAATCAAGAATGATGAGAAATATGCTCAGATTACCCATAAGAATTTATGGCTGAGCAAAAATCCAGTCTGAAACTATGCAGTCAGGACACTCTTGTAGAGATTACATTAATATAACAGAATATTGAGAGCCAGTGGTGAAGGTGCTGGCCTAGAAGCCAGGAGATTGTTGAGTTCTAGGCCTCCCTGAGGCATAAAAGCCAGCTGGGTGACTGGCTTTTAAAGTTACACTGTTGTAACTTTAGAGTTGTTACTGAGTCAACACTCTGCTCCAGAGGGTAAGACTAGAATTAATGGGATGAAGCACCAAGGATGTAGATACAGATTAAACATTAGGAAGAACTTCTTGACAATAAGAGTTGTCAATCAGTGGAGCAGGTTACTGCATGGAGTGTTTCTTCCCCTTCACTGGAGGTCTTCAAATATAGGATGGATAGTTATATACTGGGGAAGGTATAGTGAAACCTGCAGTGTGCAGGAGGTTGGACTTGATGACATCTTAGGTCCCTTCCAACTCTATGACTCTAAGGAAGTAATTGGGAAATGATTATTTGCTCTGCTTCCCCTTTCTCAACTGATCCTCCAAGCATTCTCTCATTCGTTTATACACACCAGTTCCCACTGATTCATTATGACATGGAGGGAAGAGGAACATTGTCATAAAGGATGCCTTCTTCACTTTCACATACATAGGCATCCTTAGAAGCAGGACTTTTGTCATATATATAATCCTAAAAAACAATTCTGTTAATTTCAGACCAATAAGTGGTTTTGCTGATGGCATACTGCATTAATCTGCTACTTTATATTATTATTCAGTATTCTAACTCAAATTCTAGCACTTTTATATGGATGATCATAAAGTCTTTAAAATTTTACTACTGATCTTTTTAAGCTTAATAAAATTATCTCTGTTCTCCTGCAAATGTAACAGATTTTTAAATGCCTGTATCAAAGAAAATGGCTATAATGTTTTCAAATGTATAAAATACCATTCTATACTATTTATAATTAATAACTAATTATGGCACATGATTAATGGTTTGCTATAATTGCGCAATGGATAGGATTCAACATCTGTGAGCAGAAGGGAAACAAAAAGGCATTCTTCTGCCTCATGCTTCTTGTAGTTCCCCATTCCCACCCCAAATGGCAAGGGTCCATGCTAAAGGGAATAGAATATACAGCTCAATGAACTGAGAGGGAAGGATGGTGTTAAAAAATAAGAAACACCTTTTGTAAGAACATGCTTCCATGCAATTATCCATTAGAATATACTCTCCTTTCACTTTAGATGTTTGGCTTTTCCTTGGAGAAGTTTCTGAGGGCACAGGGGGAAAGATGTAGCAAAAATATATTTCATCCATCCTATTCTGTTGATGGATCTTGGATATTACCCCATGATATGTTAAATGGCCTAAGGTTAAAATGTTGTTCAGTTGACACAACAAACATGGCTTATGTTTAATAATGAATGTGCCTGACCCTACCAGTCTCCTCTTCCCTACAACTCCTCTACGGCCATTGCTAGCTCATTTTAAGATTCCTTGAGCCTTTTCCTACAGTCCTAGTTTATGTAACAATTACTGTGCCATTTGCCTGTAGCTTCTACCTGCTGTGAACCAAAGGAACAAAACTAAAACAAGCTATGGATTATTTTATGTTTGTCTCTCTGGTTAGCGAAGGCTGCAAAGGCTGAGAACACACTATACTTCAAAGAGCAACAGCCGTTGGAGGGGACTGTGGAGTGGAGGGCAGAAGCCAGCTGACCCAATCAGATACAGTGCATTCCGAAAGTATTCAGACCCCCTTCACTTTTTTCAATTTTGTTACGTTGTAGCCTGATACGACAATCATTCAAATTCATTTTTTCCCCATTAATCTACACTCAGTACCCCGTAATGACAAAGTAAAAACAGAATTTTAGAAATGTCTGTGAATTTAT